GTACAAGCTTTCAACAAGATAGCAAGAGTAAATTCATTGGACCTCACATTATCAAGCTGTATTCTCAGGAACAATTCAAATGCCTCCAGAGTTTGTTGATTTGTAACATAGCCATTAATCATTGTAGTGCAGGAAATAGCATTTATGACATACATTTGTTCAAACGTTTGACGGGTAGCACTCAGCTCTCCACAAGCAAGAAGCTTGGTAATCACAGTAATATATGAAACCACATTTCTAATGCGCATTTTATGAAATAGTTTACACCCGGAGTCTAAGTCTCCAAACTTGAAATAGAGATCCATGAGAGTGTTTTGATGAAAATTATTTTATAAAAAACTAGTTTTGATAGCCAATGCACGAACTTCTTTCCCTTTATTAACATTATATGAGGCCACACAAGCTTTTAAGACAAAGGGGGAAGTGAACTTATCAGGCTGCAAGCTCTGACAGATCATGAGATTATAGAAAAGAAGAGCTTGGTGAGGTTTGCCATTGGTAGTAAAGGCCCTAATAATAAGATTCCAAGTAAAGGTGGAGGGTTGGTGGATTTGATGGAATATAAGAGTCGCATAATCCATTTTCCCATAAGAAGAGCAAAGGTGAAGCAGTTTCCTAACAAGCAACTGATCATTAGAGAGTTAATGGCGAATGATCCTAGTATGAATCTGGTTGAGGTGATTGCAACTAGTGTATTTCTGAACCCAGAGGAGAGCCTTTTGGGAATCAAACCGTAGTCTAGAGGCAGAATATGCTATGTGGGATGGAGATTTCCCATAATAATATGTTTGAGCTCATATGGTATATGGTACAAGTTGTAACATCCCATAACAAAAAAAATTTGCATGTGCATTATGTATATATGAATATATAGTGTTTAAATTAAAGAGAAAAACACCTATTCATATGTATTGTATAATTGTTTTCTTTTCTTCTTTGATTAACAAAATATGAAGAAAGAAAATGATACTGGATTAGGATTTTCTCATAGAAATTTGTTTAAATCTATGTTTCTTCAAAACTAAAGTAAGTATATTAAGTGAATATTCTTGTATATTAAATTAAAGCTTAAACACCTGTGCCTGATCATACTCAACATCATTGGTGGTTATATATATGTGTGTGATTTTTAAATAATAACAATAATAATAAAGAGATGCCCTCAAGAAGCCTTCTCAGCATCCATTGTTTCAAACAGATGACCTTCTTACCCCATATATATATATACATGTATATATATATATATATATATATATAATAATAATAATTACAAGCAATCTCATTTCTAGTTGGCTACTCAACCAACCCACATAATGACTGAAGTTTAATTGTGTACGGAATGAACATCTCCAAAATTTTAGTGAATGACAAAAGTAAGATTGTTTCGTTTAGTGAAATATGAAATTTATTACGTTACTAGACGAAATAATTAAAATTATTTCCAAAATTTAAAAAAATTCCATAAGTTCATGGACAATTTATATGCCTTCTAAAAATAATTCAAGAAAATTATTCAACGTTCAAGTAGATGGATGCTTAATTGCATCAGCAGGAGCCAATTGGAATATCCCCTTCAAGATTTGCAACCCAAAGTGTTAGATTCAGTATTTATATAGCCCTAACAAATTGAATATTCCAACATCAATGTGGTACCACCCAGCCAGTAGTCAACCTTTTTATGTTGCACCATATATATTATACAAAGGAACTTTGAATTTGTATTAAAATATTAGTGTATGTATATTATATACACGTACATATATATATGTATGTACGTATATATCATTTCAAAATGGAGTTCTTTATGTCACACTGTTTTCTCAAGTGATGGATATATTTTTATTAGTAAGTTTATTGATTTATATTTGCAAACCTTATGATTAAGAAAGGTAATTAATTATAACACCAATATACATGCATATATATTATAAGATGATGTTATACTAAACTTCTATTTAGAAATCCATTTCAAGCCCAGATCTTTCTTCTTCGATTCAAATTCAAATCCTCCATTAAAGCCCAAAATTAATAACTTCAAGCCCATTACCCTTTCTGCATTCTGCACCTCTCCCATCTCAATCTCATCTTCCTCGACCTTTTCAATCACCATGCTCGACCTCCTGCTTACCAATTTCTCATCTCTCTCACTCGACCAGTAGCACCAAGAGGAGCATCTCTTCTATTTTCAAAAACCCCAAGTCCAGCACCACCTTCTCCTTCCCTCCGTCTCTCCCATCTGCTTCAGGAAATGAAAAGAAGCCGCAGCCTTTGACGCGGGAATTACGGAAGCGGAGACTCACCATTTCCCATAAAATTTTCTGTTAATATCTCGAGAATAAGCAAAAATATCAGGGATGTTCTGGACTTGCAGAAACGAAACGACGTCGTTTCTATGAACCGATACAGCTTCCAGTTCAATTTTCCCAACAGCAATGTATTTTAATTGACGGGTAGCATACCAGCAGGTATATATCTGTACATATATATATATATATATGTATACTTTTTTAATAAGTTTCCTAAAAAAGTATTTTAGCAAACTTAAAACAATTGTTGGTAAGGCCCCTAGCAGGGAATCGGACAAACCAAGGATGAGGATCATTGTGATTGGATCATGGATGGTTTTTAGTTGAACCATCATAACGAGTGCATGAGAATCATATCCTGAAAATTATGAAATTTTTATAAGGCTAAATTGTAAAAATATAAATAAATATAAAAGTACTCTGTTATCCTTCACTGTATAAAGGATTTTACAACCTTATCCAAACTATTTTTCTATCTCATAAAATAATATTCTTTTACATGCTTCACTAATTTGCTAATAAAGTAGAATGGAGTATGGTTCAAGATAAGTTTTCTTAGTATGTTCATATGTGTTTTTCTCACAAAAATTTAGTACATTAATATATATATATATATATTTTTTCTGAAATGTATATACGCAAATGACATTTTGTCTTTTATTTAGTAGGGATGTTTACCATTTTGATTCTTATAAACATTTTCCTCCTGTGTTAGGTTTAACACCATTGAAGAATTTATCTCAAAAATATAATTTCTAAAATCAATTGGGTGAAATTGTTGTTAAGAAATAAGAATGTATTTTATTTAATAAGTTTTTCATGTATGTCTCGGCTTTCTCGATGAATATCTTTTTATACTTTGTTCAATTATATCCTTATATCGTGACACGATATGTTATTTCGAAAAATTATAAATTTTTTCATTTTATTATGCGACATCTCTGTCGCATGTAAAAGAATATTATTTTATGAGATAGAAAAATAGTTTGGATAAGGTTGTAAAATCCTTTATACAATGAAGGATAAAAGAGTACTTTTATATTTATTTATATTTTTATAATTTAGCCTTATAAAAATTTCATAATTTTCAGGATATGATTCTCATGCACTCGTTATGATGGTTCAACTAAAAACCATCCATGAGCCAATCACAATGATCCTCATCCTTGGTTTGTCCGATTCCCTGCAAGGGGCCTTACCAACAATTGTTTTAAGTTTGCTAAAATACTTTTTTAGGAAAATTATTAAAAAAGTATACATATATATATACATACAGACATATATATTCGCACAGACCCAGAAACCTTTGGAACTCATTGATCATGATCAGTATCCAAATCCACTTGAAAAAATAAAAGATTGTTGATTCACAAGTCAGATCATGTGAAATCACTTGCAGGGATGGACATTAACCAGGCCACAAAGATAAGGAACAAAAATGGCCTTGGCACCTTTCTTCTTGTCCTGGAAGAAACAAAAAATAGACCAAGTGATCTCTTTCCAGAGCTTCAGAACTCAGAAAACTACAAGCTGGGGGACTCGCTCAAATTCATTTCATATACACGTCAAGAGAGATTTACACTAGAGAAGGGAAGGCCAGCATTTGCTCCATCATTGGAACTTACTTTTTGCCATTGCATAGAGCTTTAATCATACAGAGAGCTTCAGTTGAATACAACCCACATCGAACATGAAGCATGTAAGCTTGAATCTTGAACTGTGCATCCTTTCCCAAAAAATCTTGACTTGTGTAATTCCCCCATTGATGGTCAGAGATCTTCTGCGTTAGCAACGGTTTCTTTCAGCTTTGATCGCAAAGAATTCATTGGTCTATAATCCCCATCTGGCATGCTGGCACGATTACATAGTTCTAGCATGCAGGTGTAATGTTCTAAAATAGGTTCAATTCCATGATGCTCTATCATATATCTGTAATATCTAAAACCCTCATCTACGTCGTTTATATGTACACAAGCAGATAAAACACCGACGAAAGTGATTGCATCTGGTTTTTCGTTTGCCCTTTCCATCTGAGCAAACAGATCAAGTGCTTCCTTTCCACATCCGTGGATTCCCAAGCTGGTGATCATTGCATTCCAAGTGGCCAAACTCTTTCTTTCCATTTTCTCAAACACTTGTTTGGCATCCTGCAAACTGCCACATTTGCTATACATGTCAACAAGAGCTGTTCCAAGGTAAACCCCAAGTTTAAACCCATTCTTGAGAGCAAAGTCGTGGATCCAGCGACCCAAATCCAGACTTCCCAGTTCAGCACAAGCTTTCAACAAACTAACAAGTGTAAATTCATTTGGCCTCACATTATTGAGCAGCATTCTTTGAAACAATTCAAATGCCTCCTGAGGGTCTTGATTTCTAACATAACCACCAATCATTACGGTCCAGGAAACAACATTTCTCACCGGCATTTGCTCAAAGGTTTGACGGGCAGCACCCAGTTCTCCGCATGCAAGAAGCCCGGTAATCACAGTAGTCCATGAAACCACATTTGTAACACGCATTTTCTGAAATACTTTAAACCCAGAGTCTAGATCTCCGGACTTGAAATAGAGATCCATGAGAGTGTTCTGCAGAAAAGTATCTCGGAACAAACCAGTTTTGATAGCCAATGCATGGACTTCTTTCCCTTTATTAAGGTTAGATAAGGCCACACAAGCTTTTAAAACAAAGGGGAAAGAAAACTTATCAGGCTGGAAGCTCTGGCAGATCATGAGATTATAGAAAAGAAGAGCTTGTAGGGGTTTGGCATTGGTGGTAAAGGCCCTTATCATAAGATTCCAACTAAAGGTGGATGGTTGGTGGAGTTGGTGGAACACAAGAGTTGCATAATCCATTTTCCCATAAGAAGAACAAAGGTGAAGCAGTTTCCTAACAAGCAACTGATCATGAAAGAGTCCATGGCGAATGATCTTAGCATGAATCTGCTTCAGATGACTGCAACTGGAGCATTTCTGAAACCAGAGGAGAGCTTCTTGGGAATCAAACAGTAGTCTAGAGGCAGAACATGCTATGCGGGATGGAGATTTCCAGGGAAGTGGATCATGATAGCAAGGAAGACATGCCAGCATAGATTGTGTTCTTCTAAAGCCCAAAAAAGTTGCAGTATTTTGCAAGATAACTCTGATAAATGAGAAACGAGAAATGAGAAATGAAAAGGAAAAAAAAAATCAGAGTTTTCCAGATACAAACAGATAAACCCAACTAAAATTCATAAATTCAGATTAAAGCATTCAAAATTTCAACAAGAGAAGAAAATGAATGACTTTTGATTTTTTATGCACTAAAAAAGTCAAAATCCTAATTATTAAATTTATAAAATTTATCATAGTTTAGCAAACTCCACCCATTTCTTCAATTGTAAAATTATGAGTTTGCATTTCTTCTTGTCAAGTTTACTAACTTGAACTCTATAGGCTGTTGAGATAATATTTTCATTCAAATTTTTAGTCTACTTTCAAGGTAAAGTTGCAGCAAACTAAAGAACCCACAACTACAATGCATCAGCGGAAGAAGATCAGTGAAGTGAAAAGTGGGATTTCGATGAGTTGACGAAGAAAGAAAAGGAAAAGAAATACCTGCTGGTATGCTACCCGTCAATTTAAATACATTGCTGCCGTATCGGTTCCCAGAAACGACGTCGATTCGTTTCTGCAAGTCTAGAACATCCCTGATATTTTTGCTTATTCTCGAGATATTAACAGAAAATTTTATGGGAAATGGTGAGTCTCCGCTTCCATAATTCCCGCGTCAAAGGCTGCGGCTTCTTTTCATTTCCTGAAGCAGATGGGAGAGACGGAGGGAAGGAGAAGATGGTGCTGGACTTGGGGTTTTCGAAAAAAGAAGAGATGCTCCTCTGGTGCTACTGGTCGAGTGAGAGAGATGAGAAATTGGTAAGCAGGAGGTCGAGCAAGGTGATTGAAAAGGTCGAGGAAGATGAGATTGAGATGGGAGAGGTGCAGAATGCAGAAAGGGTAATGGGCTTGAAGTTATTAATTTTGGGCTTTAATGGAGGATTTGAATTTGAATTTAAGAAGAAAGATCTGGGCTTGAAATGGATTTCTAAATAGAAGTTTAGTATAACATCATCTCATAATATATATACATGTATCTTAGTTATAAGGTTTGCAAATATAAATCAATAAACTTACTAATAAAAATTTATCCATCACTTGAGAAAACAGTGTGACATAAAGAACTCCATTTTGAAATGATATATACATACATACATACATAAAAAGGTTGACTACTGACTAGGTGGTATCACATTCATATTGGAATATTCAATTTGCTATGGCTATATAAATACTGAATCTAATACTTTGGGCGGCAAATCTTGAATGATATTTTAATTAACTTTTTATCATATAGTACATAATGTGGATTGTAACGTCGTATAAAAAATTTGTGTGAATATGATATGTATATGAATGTATAATATTTAAGTTAAAAAGAAAAATAGATGTATAATTATTTTATTTTATTCTTTCATTAATAAAATATAAAGAAAGAAAATGAAACTGGATTAGGGTTTCCTCATAGCTCTTCCTTTGTTATTTTGTTTCATAAAAATTCGTTGAAATCTATGTTTTTTTCAGAACTCAAGTAAGTATATTAAGTGAATATTCTTGTGTGTATATATATATATATATGAATCAATGCTGACTTTATAATGTGATGAAATGTAAATCTGTATAAAAGTAATATGTATGTATGTATGTATGTATGCATACACAGGGTGCCCCCACATGTCAAGTTTTTAAACTCCCCATTGACATATGTATATATGTATATGTATATGTATATGTATGTTCAACAAGGGTTCGACCTGTCCATAATAAAATATACACAGATCCAACCATAATCTTAAAAGTTAATTTCAGTTATGTAATTAATTAATTAATAACTAACCATTATTTTTGCTAAACAACAATTAATTAACTGTTTGAAAACACTTTTGCTGTCGCAAAGGATGACGCAAAACGAGCAAGTAAAACCTAGGAATTAATGAATTAATTATATCCCAATTTGCACTAATTGCTATCCTGATTTTAGGGTTTATGGTCGAATCCACTTATAATTATTTATCTTATTATATAAATCACACACCATCCCTACTCTAATCTCATTGCTCAACATTAAACTAAAGCTTAAACATCATACTCAACATCATTGGTGCTTATATATATATATATACATATATGGTGTGTGTGTGTGTGAGATATTTTAAATAATAATACTAAAGAGATGCCCTCAAGAAGCCTTCTCAGCATCCATTGTTTCAAGCAGATCACCTTCTTAACCCATATAATATATATGTATGTATGTATACATGTATACATACATATATATATATAATGATTACAAGCAATCTCATTTCTAGTTGGCTACTCAACCAACCCACATAATGACTATAGTTTAAGTGTGTACGGAATGAATGTCTCCAAAAATTTTTGGATACAAAGGAAAACAATTAAAAAAAAAAAAAACAATTAGATACGGTTATTACACAATTTAAAATAAAAAACACTAAAAATATCCTCACGTAGAATACTCAGAAGTCCAGAAAGGAAATGCATTAAAAAGTGGCCCCCTCATTTTAGCGAATGGCAATTTATTTCATTTAATAAAATTGAAATTTAGTACATTAATTAATGTTAATAAAATTATAGTTTTTAAATAAGATTAAATTTCAAAAAATCTATTATATTTTTATACAAAATAAATATTTTATAACATTTAAATTATATAAAATTAATAACCCAACTTAACATTTTGAATATAATTAACACATTTTAAATTTTATTTACGTGTATTTTGTTTTACAAACCAAAAATTTAACTCTTGTTAATTGTTATATAATATATAATTATACTACATTATTTATTATAATATATACATAAAAAATAAAGAAACTATGGATCGTTCTTGATTGCCAGAATATTTTTAATATTTTTATGTTATGAATTAAGTTTTTTTTTTTTTTTTTTCGTCCAAGTTTATTTATCAAAATTTTTATTATGTATTTAAAGAAATTCATGAATTTTATGAGGAAAAAGAAGAGATTCAAACATTGTTCTTATATCTGTTTATTTCAATGGAGGCTGAGATTTTAGCTTGGAGTCTGATTTGGTCGGCATTATATACAGTGCATAAGAAAGCACACATCACCAACCATCATGTGATTAAATATTATATGTATATGTACTGCTAACCATTGGGGTAGACATCTTTACAAGAAAATATAAATATATATATATATATATATATTATTAACGTATAGTACAGCATATATTTAAAAAATAAATTATATATTTATAGGGGAAATGAGAGAGCTTTTGACCTAGAACTATCATCATTAAGTACTCTTGTCTCAAAGTAGAGTGTTTGCATCTAAACAAAATGGCAGACTATAGTAATAGCGGTGATGGTGGTGGTGGTAGCATCGGTAACGGTGGCGAAGATGGAGTTGTTATAGAGCACGAAAAGTTGTTGCCAATCGCCAACGTGGGACGGATCATGAAGCAAATTTTGCCTTCCAATGCGAAAATCTCGAAGGAAGCTAAGGAAACTATGCAAGAATGTGTGTCGGAGTTCATCAGCTTTGTAACCGGGGAAGCCTCAGAGAAGTGCCGGAGGGAACGGAGGAAGACTGTGAACGGGGACGATGTGTGCTGGGCGTTGGCGTCGTTGGGCTTCGATGACTATGTTGGACCTCTGAAAAGGTATTTGCATAAGTATAGGGAAGCAGAAGGAGAGAGATCAAGTAATAATGTTAGTCAAAATCATAAGGCTACCAATAATAATAATAATTTATATAATTAGCAATGTGCTTAGAAGTTAAATGAGGAAGCTGCTTATTGGTACAGCTCCTTTGATAATCAAGTTTAATTCCCATGACGATTTTAGTAAGTCTAGATTAGGTTGATTTTCATTATCTTTCAAAAAATTCTCGCTCTACCCAGCTAACTTTATAATCATTTTTAACCATGAATGACACATGCATATATATATATATATACATAAGGAATAAGATTCTTGAGGTTTAATTATACTTGTAATTCAGTATATGCATATCTGTTTTTACTTGTTATATATGTCTGCGTTTCGATTCATATATACAGATGCATATGGCTTTCTATTAATTTAGATTCCATATGAGTATTTTTCAAGTATAAACTGTAACAGGGTTTGATGGATACTGATTGATTTTTCAAATGGCAAGTATAATGGAACATATCTATATATATATATATGTATAGATTCCATAAGGAGAAATTTATTAATCCTTCAATTATTAAGGAGTGTGGAGGCAGCGATTAACAATCTTGATTAATAATCTTCAATTGAATAGCATTAAGTTGGTACGAGATCAAATACGCAAAGTACCAATGAAGATGATATTAGTAAAACCTATTGGCATGTTCGTATTTTTAACTTAGAAACATGATTATCTCTACTGCCAAATTTAGTTCCATTTAGCATGTTTATGCATATATAGCGTACTAAAATGAAGTCTGGGTTCATATATTCTTTATATATATATGTGTGTGTGTGTATTCCCCTTATATATGATGTGTTTTTGGATTGTTTGGATCCAACCCATAATCAAATCTCTGTTCCCTTTGTTAGGGAAGAGTTTATATCTCCATAGCTCCAAGCTTCAAACTCTCTGTATATACATCAAATAAATACATATAAGTATCAAGTCATTGTTTACGGCTTCTTTCAGGTTCACATATATTGTATTGTTTGGGTTTTAGTGTGTGTGTGTGTGTATATATATGTATATATATTATAGTACAAGTTGACAAAGGATTAAAAGTATCTGTCAAGATCTAAAGTTTAGTTAACCCACATTTCTGGGAATTTTTGGACCACCACAATACACACACACATAGAAATCAATAAGCTAATATTGTTTGTATGTATATATATATAAAGAAATCCAAAGAAAAAAAAAAAGAAAAACAAAATTTTGAAAGATATTCATTGAATTAAAAAAATATATAGATGTCTTTCTTTCTCAGTAATTAACCATGAAGATCAATTGTTAATCTCGAAAAGAGAGAGATGGGGGGTTAGGGTTAGGATTTCCATATATATGTCTGTGTATATGTATATATATGGCACAACATTATATTATGTCTTTTATCACTAATATACATATTTGTATATTTTAGGTAATAAATGATTGTTATTTGCTAAGATTAGTATATATATGTATTTATATTAATATTTTTGGTGCATTGTTTAAGAAGTTGAAGATCTATATGCATATCTTTAATTTAAAATACAGGTAGAAGCAAACATATGTATATTATATAAATAAATTTGGGGTGTATAGCTTAGGTTACACATGTAAAGATGAGACAAAGAGAACCTTGAAAGCATCAGCCAACCAAATTATTGGTTTGATACTAAGTGACATTGTTTTCTTCTATGAGAAGAATATTTGTTTTGATGTAGTGAACACCAACATCAAATTGAATATTCCTCTTTAAATTTTTACATTCTTCCTCTCTTCTACCCTCATATTTCACACCTCTATTCCTCTTTCTCACTATATATATATATATATACACACGCACACACACAAATATTTATTTATAAAAATTTACCCAGTTGGGTATTATTAGTATGATTCATGATCAGTTGATATAAGTGAGAAAGTATATAATAATTATTTAATTTCAAACTCATGCATATATCTATAAGCTCGTGTAATAAAAAAATCACAGATACATGCCGTACAAAAATATGATACAAATTAACTAATGAGAAACATGTCTTATTTTCATAGAACCCACTAGAATTTATAACCAAACCTTCTCATTAAGCCCAAAACTATCACTCTTTGACATAAACGGATCCTTACAAATGGTCCCAGGGTTTGGCTTTTTATATGTAACTAAACATTATAGCATAATAATGTGTAAAATTTTATTTATTATTTATCTACTCGGATTTTAACATATAAAAATAAAATTAAGGTAATAATATATATATATATAATAGTCATTTATTTAAATTTTTTAAATATAAAAATAAATTTTTTTATTTTTAATTTATTACAAATTATGCACTATGTAAATTTTTAAATACAAAAAAATAACTTTGGTGATATATAAAAATAACTAGCTATCTAAATTTTTTAAATATAAATAAGATTTAATTTTTAGTTAATTATAACTCATGTAACAAAATGCAAAGTTTAATATCATTTATTATTAGTTCTGTATATGTATAAACGAAGAAACATTTTAATTAAAGAAATCCATTTCTGCATTTTGCCCATGTGCTAAGGGGTAAATATTTTATAAAAGAGTGCAAAAATTCTAATTACATTATGTACCGTAATAAACATTTAATAGGCAAAAAAAAAAGAAAAAGTCTGGCAGACTAAATAGCCATACATAAAGCATGAGAAAGTTTACAAAATTAACTTGAAAAATCCAGAAAAAGTCTATAAATTTTATCAGTACAAACTAAAGCCTATAAAAAAACCACGTAGATATAATACTTACTGGTGGTTACTGCAATTTACCTTATTTGTTTCTAAAACACCATGGGAGATCAGCTGAACATCATAATCGGAACTTAAACTTCAGCAGTCATTGCAACCTTGAGTAACCGCCTTCTCGGAATCATGAAGATCTCATCGGACTGCCTCACACATCTTTTTAACCAATTATAGCAGTAATCTATTACAAACTTTTTCAAGTAACTAGACCCCCGAGATGCAATCACCTCAGTCTCCCCCAACATGTAAACAATCCCTCCATTCTTCAATGCCTCGTCCACTAGTCCTAGTTGTTTCTGAACCTCTTGGTTGTGGAGATTCGCCTTTTCTTGGTCGCTAACTTCATTATCTTCGATCTCGCCCACCACAAATGACTCTTTCAGCATGAAATCCTTCAATTGAGTCAGCAGTATCTCCTCGAATGACTCCCATTCTGTCCTTGCATCTTTATATCCATACCTCACCACGCATCGGTACAAGGCTAGATCATGAGGCTTTAGTCTCCCAAACAAGAATCTCTCTTCAGGAGGGACTTTGCCAATATGGAGTACTTTAATCGAGACAAAAACTAAAACTGTATGTAGAGTCGAGACATTCCTAATATAGCCCGTGAATATAGGGGATATGCCTTGGACTACTTCTGTGTAGAATAGGGCAACACCCGGTACACGGTGAATGACGGGATCGCTTGCTATTTCTGCTAGTCTGCTTGATGACACCTTGTTTTCGAGCTCGTACATGTACTTCTTCCGATAGCCATAACTCCATATGTACATGATGGTTACTAGGAGGGCAGCAAATAATAACGGAAGGTATCCTCCATCAACAAATTTATAGACGACTGAGCTCAAAAAAGCCAGTTCACTAAAAGAAATGAACACCACATATAGAATGATGAAGATAATGTTTGTTTTCCATATCATGATCATCACAATAAGAAGAAATCCGGATGTGACTTGAAACACAAAAGCCACGGCAAGTCCTACAGAGAAAATATCAATGAAAAACGTGATAAAAGACATGGGCAATGTATCATTCAAAGTGGAGAATTCAAATGAACACGGACGAGAAATTTAGTAATATAGCAAGTTAAATTACTGACCATACGCATTGCCAATCTTCAAAGTGTTTCTGAAGCCAATGGTGACACCAAGACATGCTAACATGAGAAGGTGATTTATCTCTGGTACATAAATTTGTCCCTCAAATTGAGTTGATGTGTGAACTATCTTAACCCTTGGAAAGCAACCAAGTGCCATAGACTGGTGGATAATTGAAAAAGAAGCTGAGATCAATGCTTGGCTAGCAATAATGGCAGCCATAACTGCCACGATAAACATTGGCCAAAACAATGTTGCTGCATGTAAAAGGAAATGAGGTTAATACGACCTGTTAATATTATGTGATAATGAGAAATTAAAAATAAAGCAATGTAAAAAATAAAATGATTCAAGAAATATAGACACGTGATTACAATTAACTTACTTGGAATTGATTTATAAAAGGTATCGAGAACATCTTCGTTGTGCTTTCGGAGATACGATATTTGACCAAAATAGGCAAAAAGGATGGATGGAAAGACTAGAGAACATGAACTTATCCGAATCGATCGGACATTAAAATGACCCAAATCAGCGAACAATGCTTCAGAACCTATCATATTTTTTAACATAAAGTTAAAGGAACCCTATATATTATACAGAATACAGAAACAAAATAAAACTAATTGCTAAATTAGTCTCATACAAATAGGGTTTAACATTGCTGCTGGAATTTCAGAAAGTATTATTAAACATAGGACTTGAATAAGAGTCGATATTCAGCAACAACGTCCACCAAGATCTTGTATGATCATATGTTTAGAACTCATATTCATCAAACAAGAATGTCCGTCAAAATAAATATAAACAAAGAACATAACAATCATACTGTACAATGTACGGATCCTATAATAACAATATTTGTGAACTAATGATGTTAGCCAATTATTTTAAAACTTTGTAAAAAAAAAATTCAATTTATTATTTATATACTTAGATTACTCTCACATGCAAATCCATTAAATTAAACTTGTAAATTATGCAGAGATCTAAATATCTTGTATCAGTGAAGATTCAAATACTAGATTTCTAATTTTTATTTTGATATCACATTAAACTAAAACCCTTACCTGTGAGACACAAAATAACTCCACCCATAGAAATCCAAGCGTCTTTTTTGTTCCTCGCAAAATACCTAACTATGTACCATGGATTTATGGCCTTGATTACACCAGGATCGTACTTGAAGAAGTTAAAGATACCTATGAGTGCAATTGAGACGAACCAAAGAGCAAGGATCGGTGCAAAAGAGTAGCCAACTTTATCAGTTCCAAATCTCTGAAGTTGGAACAAGAAAATCAAGATGATCACTGAAACCCACACAATCAAATCTTCTGTCATGTCTGGTGCAGCTACCTTTATTCCACCCATTGCCGACAACACTACAATAAAAAAAATCAAAATGTAACTACATAAAAACATAAAATGGTATGTAGCCCTTTTCCAAAATCACACTTCCCCTAATATTAGCCAAACTGTAACTTACCTACGTAGATATAAATCAATATGAATTTCTATATTGTTCCATGTGGGATTAACATTTTCTCCTAGAATTAATCAATTAATTAATTAACATGAACGAATATGTATAAACTTATGGAAGAAAATGTACCTGAAATGCAAGGTGTTAAGATGCCATCGCCAAGGACCATTGAGGTACCAAGTAGAGTGACGAACAAGAGAGTGTACTTGGCAACTTTGGTATTCTCCAGCATAGACTTGACAAATGAAGCTCTTTTGAGGCCGGTACTTGGCACTTCAAGCTTATAATTAGACACTTCATTGTCTTCTTTTTGGTGGTTTGGCATCAAACTAGCCTTGCAATATCGGCATATAAGAGAATACAGAGCAAAAGTTCCTCCTACAATTTGCTCAACCAATCACAGCAACATAACATCAATAATCCCAAATAAAAAACGATTCTCTGTAGATTTTACTTCTCTGATTTGATTTCTTATTTTTTTTACATCACACAACCGAATTATTAGGAAAAAAGTAATTAATCGATTAACGATATATAGGAATCATCATTAATCATACCTTCGCCATTATCATTTGCAGCCAAAACGATGAACACATACTTGATCAGGGTGATGAGTATGATGGAGTAGAAGATTAGAGACAATGCACCAAGAAGATCTTCATTGTCTTTGATTCCATCTGGAAAAATGCCAGGCAACGCATACAGTGGTGATGTCCCTATATCACCGTACACAATTCCAATGCTCTGAAACGCAAGCTTCAACACGGTCCCCCAATCACTCGCCTGCAATTTATTTTAAAAATATTTTAAAATTAGAATGGTTCAAATTAAGGGGCAAAATAGTAGATTAGAAAATATAAAAAAAAAAAAATCAACAATAATGATTGAAACTTAAGTAGTGTATTTACAAAATGACTCAAAGATTCGAATGAAAAATTCTGAATAAGAAATTTTGAAATTCAAGCGGCAATGACCCGAACAGAACTAAACAAAACATAAAAGGAGAAAAAAATATAATAGCTACATTATATATATATATATCGTGAAAGTAACAAAAACATTAGATGAGAGAGAGGGAAGCAAGAAACCTGGCGACGTTGATGATGATGAGCACTGCCGGTTTCATCAGTGAAAGAATCATAGCGACTGGGGGTTTTCTTTGAGATGGATTTATCAAATCCTTTGCTGCCATTGTTATGGTGATCCGGTGATCCTACGTCTTCTTCTTCTTCAATGCAATCACCAGCTCCCATTTTTTTCTCTTCTTAACAAATACGTTCGCATTCATTTGAATTCTGCTCTTATAGCCAACACAAGAGAGAGCTAAGACGAGGGAAAGACGCGTGAGACAGTAAAAATACGTGTGACAGAGTAAAACCATAAATAGCCTAGAAAATTGTAATTAAATTAACTTTTTTCTTTTTATACTAATTCGATTACCTTTTTACCTATAAAAAAAAAAAAAAGGAAAGTAAGGTTCAACTCAGCTGGACTATAGTTATTAATCATTAATTAATTAAAAGTAATTAATTAATTAATTAATTAATTCTTGATGACTAACATATATGTCAACAAGTTGAAATCTGTAATTTGATTATTATACGTTATTGTTATCATTAAAGTAAAAAAATCAGAGAAAATATATTTAAAACAATTAATAGTTTAAATTTACATAAAATCTAATTAAGAAATATATCTGAAACTAAATAAGTTTATATTAAATTAAAAAAAGATACAAAAATATAAAATATAGATTGTATCAGTACTTAACAAGAAACAAAAACCAACGTAATTAAGGATATATATACATATTACTATAGATTTAATTACAATTATTAGAATTTATATCAACGTAATTAACACTATAGTAATTTAATATATGAGTATTAATACGTAATATTACTCGATATATCTGCATATAAACTTTATTTAATATAAAAGCAAATTTGAGATTTACTACATGGTATATTTTTTTTAATTTTAATATTTTAAATAAAAATTCTATATGATAATTTATATATTTTCTAATATAATTTTATTTTTAATTGGCTATAATAGTATGAATATAATAGATAAACTACAAGTCAAGTACAGTTTATTTAAAAATTCTAATAATAAAAATAGAACATTAATTTTTAGTTAACTATATATATATATAATAGTTATGTATTAAAAGTTTAATTAATTATAAAATCTAAAATTATATACTATATAAGTTTTTTGCTCTACGTATCTTCCACCAAAACATAAAGTGAAATAATTTTTTTATATATTTATATTATTTTTTATAAATAGAGGAGCAGCACATTTGATTATTATATGTATACAACATTAATCATAAAAATAGTATTATAGTTAATTAATATTTTTATGTTGAAAATAGTTAAGGAATATATGTACTATCAAATATATAATAAAAAAAATATAGATTTACTGTAAAATATATCCATCATACCTTATTATTTCACCTCCTCTTTCTTACTATACTTCAGATTTTTCATTTCAATTTTTAGTACCTCATGGCTTAATTTCCATAAAAATTATTTGAAATTTATATCCTTTATAACTGTAACGATCCCAAAAATTTTAAAAGAAATGAATTATAAATTAAGTGTGGAAGTGAAATAAATAGTTATGATTTATATTTCTTACACAATAACTTAAAGTACCAAGTAGGGATACGGGAATGACCATTTTTAGAAAAATACGAGAAATTAAAAAAATTGTAACGGCCCCAGAAATTTAAAATGAAATGTGTATTAAAAATATCAAATGCGGAAGCGAAGTCAAAAATTCGATTAACATCCCTTACACTAAAACCAAAAACGTGCTCACAAAATATAAAAGATCAAATTAACTAAAGGAGAAACTCGAAAATAAAAGCTATGAATATGACTATGGAGTCTTTAGGCGTCTCCTTCGTCGTCCTCCTGCGGAACGGGCTCGGGAACAATGTCTTCCTGATCTGAAATGATTAAATAAGGAATGAGCTACACTAGCC